TGGACGTGGACGTGGACGTGGACATGGTCGTGGACGTGGACGTGGACGTGGTCGTGGACATGGACGTGGACGTGGACGTGGACGTACACGTGGACGTGGACGTGGACGTGGACGTGGAGATGGACGTGGACGTGGACGTGGACGTGGACGTGGTCTTGGACGTGGACGTGGACGTGGACGTGGACGTGGACGTGGACGTGGAGGTGGACGTGGACGTGGACATAGACGTGGTCGTGGACGTGGACGTGGACGTGGACGCGTGGACGTGGACGCGTGGACGTGGTCGTGGACGTGGACATGGACGTGGACGTGGACGTTGACGTGGACGTGGACGTGGATCGTGGACGTGGACGTGGACGTGGACGTGAACGCGGACGTGGACGTGGACGCGGACATGGACGTGGACGTGGACGCGGACGTGGACGTGGACGCGGACGTGGACGCGGACGTGGGCGTGGACGTGGACGTGGACGTGGACATGGACGTGGTCGTGGACGTGGTCGTGGACGTGGACGTGGACGGGGTCGTGGACGTGGTCGTGGACGTGGACGTGGACGTGGACGTGGACGCGGACGTGGATGCGGACGTGGACGCGGACGTGGATGCGGACGTGGACGTAGACGTGGACGTGGGCGTGGACGTGGACGTGGACGTGGACGTGGACATGAACGTGGACGTGGACGTGAACGTGGACGTGGACGTGGACGTGGACGTGGACGTGGTCGTGGACGTGGACGTGGACGTGGACGTGGACGTGGACGTGGACATGGTCGTGGACGTGGACGTGGACGTGGACGAGGACGTGGACTTGGACGTGGACATGGACGTGGACTTGGACATGGTCGTGGACGTGGTCGTGGACGTGGACATGGTCGTGGACTTGGACGTGGACGTGGACGTGGACGTGGACTTGGACGTGGACGTGGACGTGGACGTGGACGTGGACGTGGACGTAGACGTGGACGTGGACTTGGACGTGGACGTGGACGTGGACGTGGACGTGGACGTGGACGTGGACGCGGACGGGGTCGTGGACGTGGACATGGTCGTGGACGTAGACGTGGACGTGGACTTGGACGTGGACGTGGACGTGGACGTGGACGTGGACGTAGACGTGGACGTGGACATGGTCGTGGACGTGGACGGGGTCGTGGACGTGGACGTGGACGTGGACGTGGACGCGGACGTGGACGCGGACGTGGATGCGGACGTGGACGTGGACGTGGACGTGGGCGTGGACGTGGACGTGGACGTGGACATGGACGTGGACGTGGACGTGGACGTGGACGTGGGCGTCGACGTGGACGTGGACGTGGACATGGACGTGGTCGTGGACGTGGTCGTGGACGTGGACGTGGACGTGGACGTGGACATGGTCGTGGACGTGGATGTGGAGGTGGACATGGTCGTGGACCTGGACGTGGAGGACTTGGACGTGGAGATGGACGTGGACGTGGACGTGGACGTGGACGTGGACATGGACTTGGACGTGGACGTGGACGTGGACCTGGACGTGGACGTGGACGTGGACGTGGACGTGGACGTGGACCTGGACCTGGACGTGGACGTGGACGTGGACGTGGTCGTGGACGTGGACGTGGACGTGGACGTGGACGTGGACTTGGACGTGGACGTGGACGTGGACGTGGACTTGGACGTGGACGTGGACGTGGACGTGGACGTGGACGTGGACGTGGACGTGGACGTGGACGTGGACGTGGAGGTGGACATGGTCGTGGAGGTGGAGGTGGACATGGACGTGGACATGGTCGTGGACGTGGACGTGGACGTGGACGTAGACGTGGACGTGGACGTGGACGTGGACGTGGACGTGGACGTGGACGTGGACACGTGGACGTGGACGTGGACGTGGACGTGGACGTGGTCGTGGACGTGGACCTGGACGTGGACGTGGTCGTGGACGTGGACGTGGACGTGGACGTGGACCTGGACGTGGACGTGGACGTGGACGTGGACTTGGACGTGGACGTGGACGTGGACGTGGACGTGGACGAATGGACGTGAACGTGGACGTGGTCGTGGACGTGGACGTGGACGTGGACGTGGACGTGGACGTGGACGTACACGTGGACGTGGACGTGGACGTGGACGTACACGTGGACGTGGACGTGGACGTGGACGTACACGTGGACGTGGACGTGGACGTGGACGTGGACGTGGACGTGAACGTGGACATGGACGTGGACGTGGACGTGGACGTGGAGGACGTGGACGTGGACGTGGACGTGGAGGACGTGGACGTGGACATGGACGTGGACGTGGACGTGGACGTGGACGTGGACGCGTGGACGTGGTCGTGGACGCGGACATGGACGTGGACGTGGACGTGGACGTGGTCGTGGTCGTGGACGTGGACGTGGACGTGGACGTGGACGTGGACATGGACGTGGACGTGGACGTGGACGTACACGTGGACGTGGACGTGGACGTGGACGTGGACGTGGACGTGGAGATGGACGTGGACATGGACGTGGACGTGGACGTGGACGTGGACGTGGTCGTGGACGTGGACGTGGACGTGGACATGGACGTGGACGTGGACGTGGACGTGGACGTGGAGGTGGACGTGGACGTGGACGTGGACGTGGACGTGGACGTGGAGGACGTGGACGTGGACGTGGACGTGGAGGACGTGGACGTGGACATGGACGTGGACGTGGACGTGGACGTGGACATGGACGTGGACGTGGACGCGTGGACGTGGACGTGGACGTGGACGTGGACGTGGACATGGACGTGGACGTGGACGTTGTCGTGGTCGTGGACGTGGACGTGGAGGTGGACATGGTCGTGGACGTGGACGTGGACGTGGACGTGGACGTGGACGTGGACATGGACGTGGACGTGGACGTGGACGTACACGTGGACATGGACGTACACGTGGACGTGGACGTGGACGTGGACGTGGACGTGGACGTGGACCTGGACCTGGACGTGGACGTGGACGTGGACGTGGAGATGGACGTGGACGTGGAGGAGGACGTGGACGTGGACGTGGACGTGGACGTGGAGGTGGACGTGGAGGTGGACGTGGAGGTGGACGTAGACGTGGTCGTGGACGTGGACGTGGACGTGGACGTGGTCGTGGACGTGGTCGTGGACGTGGTCGTGGACGTGGACGTGGACGTGGACGTGGACGTGGACGTGGACGTGGACATGGACGTGGACGTGGACGTGGACGTGGACGTGGACCTGGACGTGGACGTGGACGTGGTTGTGGTCGTGGACGTGGACGTGGACGTGGACTTGGACGTGGACCCGGACGTGGACGTGGACGTGGAGTGGACATGAACGTGGACGTGGTCGTGGACGTGGACGTGGACGTGGACATGGACGTGGACGTGGACGTGGACGTGGAGGTGGACGTGGACGTGGACGTGGACGTGGTCGTGGACGTGGACGTGGACGTGGACGTGGACGTCGACGTGGACGTGGACGTGGACATGGACGTGAACGTGGACGTGGTCGTGGACGTGGACGTGGACGTGGACGTGGACGTGGACGTGGAGGTGGATGTGGACGTGGACATAGACGTGGTCGTGGACTTGGACGTGGACGTGGTCGTGGACGTGGACGTGGACTTGGACGTGGACGTGGACGTGGACGTGGACATGGACGTGGACGTGGACGTGGACGTGGACGTGGACGTACACGTGGACGTGGACGTACACGTGGACGTGGACGTGGACGTACACGTGGACGTGGACGTGGACATGGACGTGGACGTGGACGAGGACGTGGACGTGGACGTGGACGTGGACGAGGACGTGGACGTGGACGAGGACGTGGACGTGGACCTGGACGTGGAGGACGTGGACATGGACGTGGACGTGGACATGGACGTGGACATGGACGTGGACGTGGACGTGGACGTGGACGTGGACGTGGACGTGGACGTGGTCGTGGACGTGGACGTGGTCGTGGTCGTGGACATGGACGTGGACGTGGACGTGGACGTGGACGTTGACGTGGACGTGGACGTGGACCAGGACGTGGACGTGGACGTGGACGTGGACGTGGACGTAGACCTGGACGTGGACGTGGACGTGCACGTGGACGTGGACGTGGAGGTGGACGTGGACGTGGACGTGGACGTGGACTTGGACGTGGACGTGGACGTGGACGTGGACTTGGACGTGGACGTGGACGTGGACGTGGACATGGACGTGGACGTGGACGTGGACGTGGACGTGGACGTGGACGTGGACGTGGACACGTGGACGTGGACGTGGACGTGGACGTGGACGTGGTCGTGGACGTGGACGTGGACATGGACATGGACGTGGACGTGGACTTGGACGTGGACGTGGACGTGGTTGTGGACATGGACGTGAACGAGGACGTGGTCGTGGACGTCGACGTGGACGTGGACATGGACGTGGACGTGGACGTGGACGTGGACGTGGAGGTGGACGTGGACGTGGACGTGGACGTGGACGTGGTCGTGGACGTGGACGTGGACGTGGACGTGGACGTAGTCGTGGACGTGGAGGTGGACGTGGACATGGACGTGGACGTGGACGTGGACGTGGACGTGGAGGTGGACGTGGACGTACACGTGGACGTGGACGTGGACGTGGACGTACACGTGGACGTACACGTGGACGTGGACGTGGACGTGGACGTGGACGTGGACGTGGACGTGGTTGTGGACGTGGACGTGGAGGACGTGGCCGTGGACGTGGACGTGGAGGACGTGGACGTGGACATGGACGTGGACGTGGACGTGGACGTGGACATGGACGTGGACGTGGACGCGTGGACGTGGACGTGGAAGTGGACGTGGACGTGGACATGGACGTGGACGTGGACGTGGTCGTGGTCGTGGACGTGGACGTGGACGTGGACGTGGACGTGGACGTGGACGTACACGTGGACGTGGACGTGGACATGGACGTGGACGTGGACATGGACGTGGACGTGGACGTGGACGTGGACGTGGAGATGGACGTGGACATGGACGTGGACGTGGACGTGGACGTACACGTGGACATGGACGTACACGTGGACGTGGACGTGGACGTGGACGTGGACGTGGACGTGGACCTGGACCTGGACGTGGACGTGGACGTGGACGTGGAGATGGACGTGGACGTGGAGGAGGACGTGGACGTGGACGTGGACGTGGACGTGGACGTGGAGGTGGACGTGGAGGTGGACGTGGAGGTGGACGTAGACGTGGTCGTGGACGTGGACGTGGACGTGGACGTGGTCGTGGACGTGGTCGTGGACGTGGTCGTGGACGTGGACGTGGACGTGGAGGTGGACGTGGACGTGGACGTGGACATGGACGTGGACGTGGACGTGGACGTGGACGTGGACCTGGACGTGGACGTGGACGTGGTTGTGGTCGTGGACGTGGACGTGGACGTGGACTTGGACGTGGACCCGGACGTGGACGTGGACGTGGAGTGGACATGAACGTGGACGTGGTCGTGGACGTGGACGTGGACGTGGACATGGACGTGGACGTGGACGTGGACGTGGAGGTGGACGTGGACGTGGACGTGGACGTGGTCGTGGACGTGGACGTGGACGTGGACGTGGACGTCGACGTGGACGTGGACGTGGACATGGACGTGAACGTGGACGTGGTCGTGGACGTGGACGTGGACGTGGACGTGGACGTGGACGTGGAGGTGGATGTGGACGTGGACATAGACGTGGTCGTGGACTTGGACGTGGACGTGGTCGTGGACGTGGACGTGGACTTGGACGTGGACGTGGACGTGGACGTGGACATGGACGTGGACGTGGACGTGGACGTGGACGTGGACGTACACGTGGACGTGGACGTACACGTGGACGTGGACGTGGACGTACACGTGGACGTGGACGTGGACATGGACGTGGACGTGGACGAGGACGTGGACGTGGACGTGGACGTGGACGAGGACGTGGACGTGGACGAGGACGTGGACGTGGACCTGGACGTGGAGGACGTGGACATGGACGTGGACGTGGACATGGACGTGGACATGGACGTGGACGTGGACGTGGACGTGGACGTGGACGTGGTCGTGGACGTGGACGTGGTCGTGGTCGTGGACATGGACGTGGACGTGGACGTGGACGTGGACGTTGACGTGGACGTGGACCAGGACGTGGACGTGGACGTGGACGTGGACGTGGACGTAGACCTGGACGTGGACGTGGACGTGCACGTGGACGTGGACGTGGAGGTGGACGTGGACGTGGACGTGGACGTGGACTTGGACGTGGACGTGGACGTGGACGTGGACTTGGACGTGGACGTGGACGTGGACGTGGACATGGACGTGGACGTGGACGTGGACGTGGACGTGGACGTGGACGTGGACACGTGGACGTGGACGTGGACGTGGACGTGGACGTGGTCGTGGACGTGGACGTGGACATGGACATGGACGTGGACGTGGACTTGGACGTGGACGTGGACGTGGTTGTGGACATGGACGTGAACGAGGACGTGGTCGTGGACGTCGACGTGGACGTGGACATGGACGTGGACGTGGACGTGGACGTGGACGTGGAGGTGGACGTGGACGTGGACGTGGACGTGGACGTGGTCGTGGACGTGGACGTGGACGTGGACGTGGACGTAGTCGTGGACGTGGAGGTGGACGTGGACATGGACGTGGACGTGGACGTGGACGTGGACGTGGAGGTGGACGTGGACGTACACGTGGACGTGGACGTGGACGTGGACGTACACGTGGACGTACACGTGGACGTGGACGTGGACATGGACGTGGACGTGGACGTGGACGTGGTTGTGGACGTGGACGTGGAGGACGTGGCCGTGGACGTGGACGTGGAGGACGTGGACGTGGACATGGACGTGGACGTGGACGTGGACGTGGACATGGACGTGGACGTGGACGCGTGGACGTGGACGTGGAAGTGGACGTGGACGTGGACATGGACGTGGACGTGGACGTGGTCGTGGTCGTGGACGTGGACGTGGACGTGGACGTGGACGTGGACGTGGACGTACACGTGGACGTGGACGTGGACATGGACGTGGACGTGGACATGGACGTGGACGTGGACGTGGACGTGGACGTGGAGATGGACGTGGACATGGACGTGGACGTGGACGTGGACGTGGACGTGGACGTGGACATGGACGTGGACGTGGACGTGGACGTGGACGTGGACGTGGACGTAGACGTGGTCGTGGACGTGGACGTGGACGTGGTCGTGGACGTGGACGTGGACGTGGACGTGGACATGGACGTGGACGTGGACGTGGACGTGGTCGTGGTCGTGGACGTGGACGTGGACGTGGACATGGTCGTGGACGTGGACGTGGACGTGGTCGTGGACATGGACGTGGACGTGGACGTGGTCGTGGACGTGGACGTGGACGTGGACGTGGACGTGGACGTGGACGTGGACGTGGTCGTGGACGTGGACGTGGACGTGGACGTGGACGTGGACGTGGACGTGGAGGTAGACGTGGACGTGGACATAGACGTGGTCGTGGACGTGGACGTGGTCGTGGACGTAGACGTGGACGTGGACGCGTGGATGTGGACGTGGACGTGGACGTGGACGTGGACGTGGACGCGTGGACGTGGACGTGGACGTGGACATGGACGTGGACGCGTGGACGTGGTCGTGGACGTGGACGTGGACGTGGACATGGACGTTGACGTGGACGTGGACGTGGACGTGGATCGTGGACGTGGACGTGGACGTGGACGTGAACGCGGACGTGGACGTGGACGCGGACATGGACGTGGACGTGGACGTGGACGTGAACGCGGACGTGGACGTGGACGCGGACATGGACGTGGACGTGGACGTGGACTTGGACGTGGACCCGGACGTGGACGTGGACGTGGAGTGGACATGAACGTGGACGTGGTCGTGGACGTGGACGTGGACGTGGACATGGACGTGGACGTGGACGTGGACGTGGAGGTGGACGTGGACGTGGACGTGGACGTGGTCATGGACGTGGACGTGGACGTGGACGTGGACGTCGACGTGGACGTGGACGTGGACATGGACGTGAACGTGGACGTGGTCGTGGACGTGGACGTGGACGTGGACGTGGACGTGGACGTGGAGGTGGATGTGGACGTGGACATAGACGTGGTCGTGGACTTGGACGTGGACGTGGTCGTGGACGTGGACGTGGACTTGGACGTGGACGTGGACGTGGACGTGGACATGGACGTGGACGTGGACGTGGACGTGGACGTACACGTGGACGTGGACGTGGACGTACACGTGGACGTGGACGTACACGTGGACGTGGACGTGGACATGGACGTGGACGTGGACGAGGACGTGGACGTGGACGTGGACGTGGACGAGGACGTGGACGTGGACGAGGACGTGGACGTGGACCTGGACGTGGAGGACGTGGACATGGACGTGGACGTGGACATGGACGTGGACGTAGACGTGGACGTGGACGTGGACGTGGACGTGGACGTGGTCGTGGACGTGGACGTTGACGTGGACGTGGACGTGGACCAGGACGTGGACATGGACGTGGACGTAGACGTGGACGTGGACGTGGACATGGACGTGGACGTGGTCGTGGTCGTGGACATGGACGTGGACGTTGACGTGGACGTGGACGTTGACGTGGACGTGGACGTGGACCAGGACGTGGACGTGGACGTGGACGTGGACGTGGACGTGGACGTGGACGTGGACCTGGACGTGGACGTGGACGTGGACGTGGACGTGGACGTGGAGGTGGACGTGGACGTGGACGTGGACGTGGACGTGGACTTGGACGTGGACGTGGACGTGGACTTGGACGTGGACGTGGACGTGGACGTGGCCATGGACGTGGACGTGGACGTGGACGTGGACGTGGACGTGGACACGTGGACGTGGACGTGGACGTGGACGTGGTCGTGGACGTGGACGTGGACGTGGACGTGGACTTGGACGTGGACGTGGACGAGGACGTGGACGTGGACATGGACGTGAACGAGGACGTGGTCGTGGACGTGGACGTGGACGTGGACATGGACGTGGACGTGGACGTGGACGTGGACGTGGACGTGGAGGTGGACGTGGACGTGGACGTGGACGTGGACGTGGACGTGGACGTGGTCGTGGACGTGGACGTGGACGTGGACGTGGACGTAGTCGTGGACGTGGAGGTGGACGTGGAGGTGGACGTGGACGTGGACGTGGACGTGGACGTGGAGGTGGACGTGGAGGTGGACGTGGACGTGGACGTGGACGTGGACGTACACGTGGACGTACACGTGGACGTGGACGTGGACGTGGACGTGGACGTGGTTGTGGACGTGGACGTGGAGGACGTGGCCGTGGACGTGGACGTGGAGGACGTGGACGTGGACATGGACGTGGACGTGGACGTGGACGTGGACATGGACGTGGACGTGGACGCGTGGACGTGGACGTGGACGTGGACGTGGACATGGACGTGGACGCGGACGTGGTCGTGGTCGTGGACGTGGACGTGGACGTGGACGTGGACGTGGACGTGGACGTGGACGTACACGTGGACGTGGACGTGGACGTGGATGTGGACGTGGACATGGACGTGGACGTGGACGTGGACGTGGAGATGGACGTGGACGTGGACGTGGACGTGGACGTGGACGTGGACATGGACGTGGACGTGGACGTGGACGTAGACGTGGTCGTGGACGTGGACGTGGACGTGGTCGTGGACGTGGACGTGGACGTGGACGTGGACGTGGACATGGACGTGGACGTGGACGTGGACGTGGTCGTGGTCGTGGACGTGGACGTGGACGTGGACATGGTCGTGGACGTGGACGTGGACGTGGTCGTGGACATGGACGTGGACGTGGACGTGGACGTGGTCGTGGACGTGGACGTGGACGTGGACGTGGACGTGGACGTGGACGTGGTCGTGGACGTGGACGTGGACGTGGACGTGGACGTGGACGTGGACGTGGACGTGGACGTGGACATAGACGTGGTCGTGGACGTGGACGTGGTCGTGGACGTAGACGTGGACGTGGACGCAAGGACGTGGACGTGGACGTGGACGTGGACGTGGACGCGTGGACGTGGACGTGGACGTGGACGTGGACATGGACGTGGACGTGGACGCGTGGACGTGGTCGTGGACGTGGACGTGGACGTGGACATGGACGTTGACGTGGACGTGGACGTGGACGTGGATCGTGGACGTGGACGTGGACGTGAACGCGGACGTGGACATAGACGCGGACATGGACGTGGACGTGGACATGGACGTGGACGTGGACGTGGACGTGGGCGTGGACGTGGACGTGGACGTGGACATGGACGTGGTCGTGGACGTGGTCGTGGACGTGGACGTGGACGGGGTCGTGGACGTGGTCGTGGACGTGGACGTGGACGTGGACGTGGACGCGGACGTGGATGCGGACGTGGACGTAGACGTGGACGTGGGCGTGGACGTGGACGTGGACGTGGACATGAACGTGGACGTGGACGTTAACGTGGACGTGGACGTGGACGTGGACGTGGACGTGGACGTGGACGTGGTCGTGGACGTGGACGTGGACGTGGACGTGGACGTGGACGTGGACGTGGACGTGGACATGGTCGTAGACGTGGACGTGGACGAGGACGTGGACTTGGACGTGGACATGGACGTGGACGTGGACTTGGACATGGTCGTGGACGTGGTCGTGGACGTGGACATGGTCGTGGACTTGGACGTGGACGTGGACGTGGACGTGGACTTGGACGTGGACGTGGGCGTGGACGTGGACGTGGACGTAGACGTGGACGTGGACTTGGACGTGGACGTGGACATGGACGTGGACGTGGACATGGTCGTGGTCGTGGACGTGGACGTGGACGTGGACGTGGACATGGTCATGGACGTGGACGTGGACGTGGACGTGGACGTGGTCGTGGACGTGGACGTGGACGTGGTCGTGGTCGTGGACGTGGACGGGGTCGTGGACGTGGACGTGGACGTGGACGCGGACGTGGACGCGGACGTGGATGCGGACGTGGACGTGGACGTGGACGTGGGCGTGGACGTGGACGTGGACGTGGACATGGACGTAGACGTGGACGTGGACGTGGACGTGGACGTGGGCGTGGACGTGGATGTGGACGTGGACATGGACGTGGTCGTGGACGTGGTCGTGGACGTGGACGTGGACGTGGACGTGGACATGGTCGTGGACGTGGATGTGGAGGTGGACATGGTCGTGGACGTGGACGTGGAGGACTTGGACGTGGAGATGGACGTGGACGTGGACGTGGACGTGGACGTGGACATGGACTTGGACGTGGACGTGGACGTGGACCTGGACGTGGACGTGGACGTGGACGTGGACGTGGACGTGGACCTGGACGTGGACGTGGACGTGGACGTGGACGTGGTCGTGGACGTGGACGTGGACGTGGACGTGGACGTGGACTTGGACGTGGACGTGGACGTGGACGTGGACTTGGACGTGGACGTGGACATGGACGTGGACGTGGACATGGACGTGGACGTGGACGTGGACGTGGACGTGGACGTGGAGGTGGACATGGTCGTGGAGGTGGAGGTGGACGTGGACGTGGACATGGTCGTGGACGTGGACGTGGACGTGGACGTAGACGTGGACGTGGACGTGGACGTGGACGTGGACGTGGACACGTGGACGTGGACGTGGACGTGGACGTGGACGTGGTCGTGGACGTGGACGTGGACGTGGACGTGGTCGTGGACGTGGACGTGGACGTGGACCTGGACCTGGACGTGGACGTGGACGTGGACGTGGACGTGGACGTGGACGTGGACGTGGACATGGACGTGAACGTGGACGTGGTCGTGGACGTGGACGTGGACGTGGACGTGGACGTGGACGTGGACGTGGAGGTGGACGTGGAGGTGGACGTGGAGGTGGACGTGGTCGTGGACGTGGACGTGGTCGTGGACGTGGACGTGGACGTGGTCGTGGACGTGGACGTGGACGTGGACGTGGACGTGGACGTGGACGTACACGTGGACGTGGACGTGGACGTGGACGTACACGTGGACGTGGACGTGGACGTACACGTGGACGTAGACGTGGACATGGACGTGGACGTGGACGTGGACGTGGACGTGGACGTGGACGTGGACGTGGAGGACGTGGACGTGGACGTGGACGTGGAGGACGTGGACGTGGGACGTGGACATGGACGTGGACGTGGACGTGGACATGGACGTGGACGTGGACGCGTGGACGTGGTCGTGGACGCGGACATGGACGTGGACGTGGACGTGGTCGTGGTCGTGGACGTGGACGTGGACGTGGACGTGGTCGTGGACGTGGACGTGGACGTGGACGTGGACATGGACGTGGACGTGGACGTGGACGTACACGTGGACGTGGACGTGGACGTGGACGTGGACGTGGACGTGGAGATGGACGTGGACATGGACGTGGACGTGGACGTGGACGTGGACGTGGTCGTGGACGTGGACGTGGACGTGGACATGGACGTGGACGTGGACGTGGATGTGGATGTGGACGTGGACGTGGACGTGGACGTGAGGGACGTGGACGTGGACGTGGAGGACGTGGACGTGGACGTGGACGTGGAGGACGTGGACGTGGACATGGACGTGGACGTGGACGTGGACGTGGACGTGGACATGGACGTGGACGTGGACGCGTGGACGTGGACGTGGAGGTGGACATGGACGTGGACGTGGACGTTGTCCTGGTCGTGGACGTGGACGTGGACGTGGACTTGGTCGTGGACGTGGACGTGGACGTGGACGTGGACATGGACGTGGACGTGGACGTGGACGAACACGTGGACGTGGACGTACACGTGGACGTGGACGTGGACGTGGACATGGACGTGGACGTGGACGTGGACGTGGACGTGGACGTGGACGTGGAGATGGACGTGGACGTGGACATGGACGTGGACGTGGACATGGACGTGGACGTGGACCTGGTCGTGGACGTGGACGTGGATGTGGAGGTGGACGTGGACGTGGACGTGGACGAGGACATGGACGTGGACGTGGACGTGGACGTACACGTGGACGTGGACGTACACGTGGACGTGGACGTGGACGTGGAGGTGGACGTGGACCTGGACGTGGACGTGGACGTGGACGTGGACGTGGAGATGGACGTGGACGTGGACATGGACGTGGACGTGGACATGGACGTGGACGTGGACCTGGTCGTGGACGTGGACGTGGACGTGGACGTGGACGTGGACTTGGACGTGGACGTGGACGTGGACGTGGACGTGGACGTGGACGTGGAGGTGGACGTGGAGGTGGACATGGTCGTGGAGGTGGACGTGGACGTGGACGTGGACCTGGTCGTGGACGTGGACGTGGACGTGGACTTGGACGTGGACGTGGACGTGGACGTGGACGTGGACGTGGACGTGGACGTGGTCGTGGAGGTGGACGTGGACGTGGACGTGGACGTGGACGTGGACGTGGACGTGGACGTGGACGTGGACGTGGACGTGGACGTGGACGTGGACGTGGACGTACACGTGGACGTGGACGTGGACGTGGACGTGGACGTGGACATGGACGTGGACGTGGACGTGGACGTGGAGATGGACGTGGACATGGACGTGGACGTAAACGTGGACGTGGACGTGGACGTGGACGTGGACGTGGACGTGGACTTGGACGTGAACGTGGACGTGGACGTGGACGTGGACATGGACGTGAACGTGGACGTGGTCGTGGTCATGGAGGTGGACGTGGACGTGAACGTGGACGTGGTCGTGGACGTGGACGTGGACATGGACTTGGACGTGGACGTGGACGTGGACCTGGACGTGGACGTGGACGTGGACGTGGACCTGGACGTGGACGTGGACGTGGACGTGGACGTGGACGTGGTCGTGGACGTGGACGTGGACGTGGACGTGGACGTGGACTTGGACGTGGACGTGGACGTGGACTTGGACGTGGACGTGGACATGGACGTGGACGTGGACATGGACGTGGACGTGGACGTGGACGTGGACGTGGACGTGGAGGTGGACATGGTCGTGGAGGTGGAGGTGGACGTGGACGTGGACATGGTCGTGGACGTGGACGTGGACGTGGACGTAGACGTGGACGTGGACGTGGACGTGGACGTGGACGTGGACGTGGACACGTGGACGTGGACGTGGACGTGGACGTGGACGTGGTCGTGAACGTGGACGTGGACGTGGACGTGGTCGTGGACGTGGACGTGGACGTGGACCTGGACCTGGACGTGGACGTGGACGTGGACGTGGACGTGGACGTGGACGTGGACGTGGACGTGGACGTGGACGTGGACGTGGACCTGGACCTGGACGTGGACGTGGACGTGGACGTGGTCGTGGACGTGGACGTGGACGTGGACGTGGACATGGACGTGGAGGTGGACGTGGAGGTGGACGTGGAGGTGGACGTGGTCGTGGACGTGGACGTGGTCGTGGACGTGGACGTGGACGTGGTCGTGGACGTGGACGTGGACGTGGACGTGGACGTGGACGTGGACGTACACGTGGACGTGGACGTGGACGTGGACGTACACGTGGACGTGGACGTGGACGTGGACGTACACGTGGACGTAGACGTGGACGTGGACGTGGACGTGGACGTGGACGTGGACGTGGACGTGGACGTGGAGGACGTGGACGTGGACATGGACGTGGAGGACGTGGACGTGGGACGTGGACATGGACGTGGACGTGGACGTGGACATGGACGTGGACGTGGACGCGTGGACGTGGTCGTGGACGCGGACATGGACGTGGACGTGGACGTGGTCGTGGTCGTGGACGTGGACGTGGACGTGGACGTGGTCGTGGACGTGGACGTGGACGTGGACATGGACGTGGACATGGACGTGGACGTGGACGTGGACGTACACGTGGACGTGGACGTGGACGTGGACGTGGACGTGGACGTGGACGTGGACGTGGAGATGGACGTGGACATGGACGTGGACGTGGACGTGGACGTGGACGTGGTCGTGGACGTGGACGTGGACGTGGACATGGACGTGGACGTGGACGTGGATGTGGATGTGGACGTGGACGTGGACGTGGACGTGGAGGACGTGGACGTGGACGTGGAGGACGTGGACGTGGACGTGGACGTGGAGGACGTGGACGTGGACATGGACGTGGACGTGGACGTGGACGTGGACGTGGACATGGACGTGGACGTGGACGCGTGGACGTGGACGTGGACGTGGACATGGACGTGGACGTGGACGTTGTCCTGGTCGTGGACGTGGACGTGGACGTGGACTTGGTCGTGGACGTGGACGTGGACGTGGACGTGGACATGGACGTGGACGTGGACGTGGACGAACACGTGGACGTGGACGTACACGTGGACGTGGACGTGGACGTGGACATGGACGTGGACGTGGACGTGGACGTGGACGTGGACGTGGACGTGGACGTGGACGTGGACATGGACGTGGACGTGGACCTGGTCGTGGACGTGGACGTGGATGTGGAGGTGGACGTGGACGTGGACGTGGACATGGACGTGGACGTGGACGTGGACGTACACGTGGACGTGGACGTGGACGTACACGTGGACGTGGACGTGGACGTGGACGTGGACGTGGACCTGGACGTGGACGTGGACGTGGACGTGGACGTGGAGATGGACGTGGACGTGGACATGGACGTGGACGACACGTGGACGTGGACGTGGACGTGGACGTGGACATGGACGTGGACGTGGACGTGGACGTGGAGATGGACGTGGACATGGACGTGGACGTAAACGTGGACGTGGACGTGGACGTGGACGTGGACGTGGACGTGGACGTGGACGTGGACTTGGACGTGGACGTGGACGTGGACGTGGACGTGGACATGGACGTGAACGTGGACGTGGTCGTGGTCATGGAGGTGGACGTGGACGTGAACATGGACGTGGTCGTGGACGTGGACGTGGACGTGGACGTGGACGTGGACGTGGAGGTGGACGTGGACGTGGACGTGGACGTGGTCGTGGACGTGGACGTGGATGTGGTCGTGGACGTGGACGTGGACGTGGACTTGGACGTGGACGTGGACGTGGACGTGGACGTGGACGTGGACGTACACGTGGACGTGGACATGGACGTAGACGTGGACGTGGACATGGACGTGGACGTGGACGTGGACGTGGACGTGGACCTGGACGTGGACGTGGACGTGGAGGACGTGGACGTGGACGTGGACGTGGAGGACGTGGATGTGGACATGGACGTGGACGTGGACGTGGACGTGGACGTGGACGTGGACGTGGACGTGGAGGTGGACGTGGACGTGGACGTGGACGTGGACGTGGAGGTGGACGTGGAGGTGGACGTGGACGTGGACGTGGACGTGGACGTACACGTGGACGTACACGTGGACGTGGACGTGGACGTGGACGTGGACGTGGTTGTGGACGTGGACGTGGAGGACGTGGCCGTGGACGTGGACGTGGAGGACGTGGACGTGGACATGGACGTGGACGTGGACGTGGACGTGGACATGGACGTGGACGTGGACGCGTGGACGTGGACGTGGACGTGGACGTGGACGTGGACATGGACGTGGACGCGGACGTGGTCGTGGTCGTGGACGTGGACGTGGACGTGGACGTGGACGTGGACGTGGACGTGGACGTGGACGTACACGTGGACGTGGACGTGGACGTGGATGTGGACGTGGACATGGACGTGGACGTGGACGTGGACGTGGAGATGGACGTGGACGTGGACGTGGACGTGGACGTGGACGTGGACGTGGACATGGACGTGGACGTGGACGTGGACGTAGACGTGGACGTGGACGTGGACGTGGTCGTGGACGTGGACGTGGACGTGGACGTGGACGTGGACATGGACGTGGACGTGGACGTGGACGTGGTCGTGGTCGTGGACGTGGACGTGGACGTGGACATGGTCGTGGACGTGGACGTGGACGTGGTCGTGGACATGGACGTGGACGTGGACGTGGACGTGGTCGTGGACGTGGACGTGGACGTGGACGTGGACGTGGACGTGGTCGTGGACGTGGACGTGGACGTGGACGTGGACGTGGACGTGGACGTGGACGTGGACGTGGACATAGACGTGGTCGTGGACGTGGACGTGGTCGTGGACGTAGACGTGGACGTGGACGCGTGGACGTGGACGTGGACGTGGACGTGGACGTGGACGTGGACGTGGACGCGTGGACGTGGACGTGGACGTGGACGTGGACGTGGACATGGACGTGGACGTGGACGCGTGGACGTGGTCGTGGACGTGGACGTGGACGTGGACATGGACGTTGACGTGGACGTGGACGTGGACGTGGATCGTGGACGTGGACGTGGACGTGGACGTGAACGCGGACGTGGACATAGACGCGGACATGGACGTGGACGTGGACGTGGACGTGGACGTGGACGTGGACGTGGACGTGGGCGTGGACGTGGACGTGGACGTGGACATGGACGTGGTCGTGGACGTGGTCGTGGACGTGGACGTGGACGGGGTCGTGGACGTGGTCGTGGACGTGGACGTGGACGTGGACGTGGACGCGGACGTGGATGCGGACGTGGACGTAGACGTGGACGTGGGCGTGGACGTGGACGTGGACGTGGACATGAACGTGGACGTGGACGTTAACGTGGACGTGGACGTGGACGTGGACGTGGACGTGGACGTGGACGTGGACGTGGTCGTGGACGTGGACGTGGACGTGGACGTGGACGTGGACGTGGACGTAGACGTGGACGTGGACATGGTCGTGGACGTGGACGTGGACGAGGACGTGGACTTGGACGTGGACATGGACGTGAACGTGGACTTGGACATGGTCGTGGACGTGGTCGTGGACGTGGACATGGTCGTGGACTTGGACGTGGACGTGGACGTGGACGTGGACTTGGACGTGGACGTGGGCGTGGACGTGGACGTGGACGTAGACGTGGACGTGGACTTGGACGTGGACGTGGACATGGACGTGGACGTGGACATGGTCGTGGTCGTGGACGTGGACGTGGACGTGGACGTGGACGTGGACATGGTCATGGACGTGGACGTGGACGTGGACGTGGACGTGGACGTGGACGTGGACGTGGACGTGGTCGTGGACGTGGACGTGGACGTGGTCGTGGTCGTGGACGTGGACGGGGTCGTGGACGTGGACGCGGACGTGGACGCGGACGTGGACGCGGACGTGGATGCGGACGTGGACGTGGACGTGGACGTGGGCGTGGACGTGGACGTGGACGTGGACATGGACGTGGACGTGGACGTGGACGTGGACGTGGACGTGGGCGTGGACGTGGATGTGGACGTGGACATGGACGTGGTCGTGGACGTGGTCGTGGACGTGGACGTGGACGTGGACGTGGACATGGTCGTGGACGTGGATGTAGAGGTGGACATGGTCGTGGACGTGGACGTGGAGGACTTGGACGTGGAGATGGACGTGGACGTGGACGTGGACGTGGACGTGGACATGGACTTGGACGTGGACGTGGACGTGGACCTGGACGTGGACGTGGACGTGGACGTGGACGTGGACGTGGACCTGGACGTGGACGTGGACGTGGACGTGGACGTGGACGTGGTCGTGGACGTGGACGTGGACGTGGACGTGGACGTGGACTTGGACGTGGACGTGGACGTGGACGTGGACTTGGACGTGGACGTGGACATGGACGTGGACGTGGACATGGACGTGGACGTGGACGTGGACGTGGACGTGGACGTGGACGTGGAGGTGGACATGGTCGTGGAGGTGGAGGTGGACGTGGACGTGGACATGGTCGTGGACGTGGACGTGGACGTGGACGTAGACGTGGACGTGGACGTGGACGTGGACGTGGACGTGGACGTGGACACGTGGACGTGGACGTGGACGTGGACGTGGTCGTGGACGTGGACGTGGACGTGGACGTGGTCGTGGACGTGGACGTGGACGTGGACCTGGACCTGGACGTGGACGTGGACGTGGACGTGGACGTGGACGTGGACGTGGACGTGGACGTGGACATGGACGTGAACGTGGACGTGGTCGTGGACGTGGACGTGGACGTGGACGTGGACGTGGAGGTGGACGTGGAGGTGGACGTGGAGGTGGACGTGGTCGTGGACGTGGACGTGGTCGTGGACGTGGACGTGGACGTGGTCGTGGACGTGGACGTGGACGTGGACGTGGACGTGGACGTACACGTGGACGTGGACGTGGACGTGGACGTGGACGTACACGTGGACGTGGACGTGGACGTGGACGTACACGTGGACGTAGACGTGGACGTGGACGTGGACGTGGACGTGGACGTGGACGTGGACGTGGACGTGGACGTGGAGGACGTGGACGTGGACGTGGACGTGGAGGACGTGGACGTGGGACGTGGACATGGACGTGGACGTGGACGTGGACATGGACGTGGACGTGGACGCGTGGACGTGGTCGTGGACGCGGACATGGACGTGGACGCGGACGTGGTCGTGGTCGCGGACGTGGACGTGGACGTGGACGTGGTCGTGGACGTGGACGTGGACGTGGACGTGGACGTGGACATGGACGTGGACGTGGACGTGGACGTACACGTGGACGTGGACGTGGACGTGGACGTGGACGTACACGTGGAGATGGACGTGGACATGGACGTGGACGTGGACGTGGACGTGGACGTGGTCGTGGACGTGGACGTGGACGTGGACGTGGACGTGGTCGTGGACGTGGACGTGGACGTGGACATGGACGTGGACGTGGACGTGGACGTGGACGTGGACGTGGACGTGGACGTGGACGTGGAGGACGTGGACGTGGACGTGGAGGACGTGGACGTGGACGTGGACGTGGAGGACGTGGACGTGGACATGGACGTGGACGTGGACGTGGACGTGGACGTGGACATGGACGTGGACGTGGACGCGTGGACGTGGACGTGGACGTGGACGTGGACATGGACGTGGACGTGGACGTTGTCCTGGTCGTGGACGTGGACGTGGACGTGGACTTGGTCGTGGACGTGGACGTGGACGTGGACGTGGACGTGGACGTGGACATGGACGTGGACGTGGACGTGGACGAACACGTGGACGTGGACGTACACGTGGACGTGGACGTGGACGTGGACATGGACGTGGACGTGGACGTGGACGTGGACGTGGACGTGGACGTGGAGATGGACGTGGACGTGGACATGGACGTGGACGTGGACATGGACGTGGACGTGGACCTGGTCGTGGACGTGGACGTGGATGTGGAGGTGGACGTGGACGTAGACGTGGACGTGGACATGGACGTGGACGTGGACGTGGACGTACACGTGGACGTGGACGTACACGTGGACGTGGACGTGGACGTGGACGTGGACGTGGACCTGGACGTGGACGTGGACGTGGACGTGGACGTGGAGATGGACGTGGACGTGGACATGGACGTGGACGTGGACATGGACGTGGACGTGGACCTGGTCGTGGACGTGGACGTGGACGTGGACGTGGACGTGGACGTGGACGTGGACGTGGACTTGGACGTGGACGTGGACGTGGACGTGGACGTGGACGTGGACGTGGAGGTGGACATGGTCGTGGAGGTGGACGTGGACGTGGACGTGGACCTGGTCGTGGACGTGGACGTGGACGTGGACTTGGACGTGGACGTGGACGTGGACGTGGACGTGGACGTGGACGTGGACGTGGTCGTGGAGGTGGACGTGGACGTGGACGTGGACGTGGTCGTGGACGTGGACGTGGACGTGGACGTGGACGTGGACGTGGACGTGGACGTGGACGTGGACGTACACGTGGACGTGGACGTGGACGTGGACGTGGACATGGACGTGGACGTGGACGTGGACGTGGAGATGGACGTGGACATGGACGTGGACGTAAACGTGGACGTGGACGTGGACGTGGACGTGGACGTGGACGTGGACTTGGACGTGGACGTGGACGTGGACGTGGACGTGGACATGGACGTGAACGTGGACGTGGTCGTGGTCATGGAGGTGGACGTGGACGTGAACGTGGACGTGGTCGTGGACGTGGACGTGGACGTGGACGTGGACGTGGACGTGGAGGTGGACGTGGACGTGGACGTGGACGTGGTCGTGGACGTGGACGTGGACGTGGTCGTGGACGTGGACGTAGACGTGGACTTGGACGTGGACGTGGACGTGGACGTGGACGTGGACGTGGACGTACACGTGGACGTGGACATGGACGTAGACGTGGACGTGGACATGGACGTGGACGTGGACGTGGACGTGGACGTGGACGTGGACGTGGAGGACGTGGACGTGGACGTGGACGTGGAGGACGTGGACGTGGACATGGACGTGGACGTGGACGCGTGGACGTGGACGTGGACGTGGACGTGGACGTGGACATGGACGTGGACGTGGACGTGGTCGTGGTCGTGGACGTGGACGTGGACGTGGACATGGTCGTGGACGTGGACGTGGACGTGGACGTGGACGTGGACATGGACGTGGACGTGGACGTGGACGTACACGTGGACGTGGACGTGGACGTGGACGTGGACGTGGACGTGGAGATGGACGTTGACATGGACGTGGACGTGGACGTGGACGTGGACGTGGTCGTGGACGTGGACGTGGACATGGACATGGACGTGGACGTGGACGTGGACGTGGACGTGGAGGTGGACGTGGACGTGGACATAGACGTGGTCGTGGACGTGGACGTGGACGTGGTCGTGGACGTGGACGTGGACGTGGACGTGGACATGGACGTGGACGTGGACGTGGTCGTGGTCGTGGACGTGGACGTGGACCTGGTCGTGGACGTGGACGTGGACGTGGACGTGGACGTGGACGTGGAGATGGACGTTGACGTGGACGTGGACGTGGACGTGGACGTGGACGTGGACGTGAACGTGGACGTGGACGTGGACGTGGACGTGAACGTGGACCTGGACGTGGACGTGGACGTGGACGTGGACGTGGACTTGGACGTGGTCGTGGACGTGGACGTGGACTTGGACGTGGTCGTGGACGTGGTCGTGGACGTGGACATGGTCGTGGACGTGGATGTGGACGTGGACGTGGACGTGGACTTGGACGTGGACGTGGACGTGGACGTGGACGTGGACTTGGACGTGGACGTGGACGTGGACGTGGACGTGGACATGGACGTGGACGTGGACTTGGACGTGGACGTGGACGTGGACGTGGACATGGTCGTGGTCATGGACGTGAACGTGGACGTGGACGTGGACGTGGACATGGTCATGGACGTGGACATGGACGTGGACGTGGACGTGGACGTGGACATGGTCGTGGACGTGGACGTGGACGTGGACGTGGACATGGTCGTGGACGTGGACCTGGTCGTGGACGTGGACGTGGACGTGGACATGGACGTGGACAGGGACGTGGACGTGGACGTGGACGCGGACATGGACGTGGACGTGGACGTGGACGTGGACGTGGGCGTGGACATGGACGTGGACGTGGACATGGACGTGGACGTGGACCTGGACGTGAACGTGGACGTGGACGTGGACGTGGACATGGTCGTGGACGTGGACGTGGAGGTGGACATGGTCGTGGACGTGGACGTGGAGGACTTGGACGTGGAGATGGACGTGGACTTGGACGTGGACTTGGACGTGGACGTGGACGTGGACCTGGTCGTGGACGTGGACGTGGACCTGGTCGTGGACGTGGACGTGGACGTGGACGTGGACGTGGACCTGGTCGTGGACGTGGACGTGGACGTGGACGTGGACGTGGACGTGGAGATGGACGTGGACGTGGACGTGGACGTGGACGTGGACGTGGACGTGGACGTGAACGTGGACGTGGACGTGGACGTGAACGTGGACGTGGACGTGGACGTGGACGTGGACGTGGACGTGGAGTTGGACGTGGTCGTGGACGTGGACGTGGACTTGGACGTGGTTGTGGACGTGGTCGTGGACGTGGACATGGTCGTGGACGTGGACGTGGACGTGGACGTGGACGTGGACTTGGACGTGGACGTGGACGTAGACGTGGACGTGGACTTGGACGTGGACGTGGACGTGGACGTGGACGTGGACATGGACGTGGACGTGGACTTGGACGTGGACGTGGACGTGGACGTGGACATGGTCGTGGTCGTGGACGTGGACGTGGACGTGGACGTGGACGTGGACATGGTCATGGACGTGGACGTGGACGTGGACGTGGACGTGGACATGGACGTGGACGTGGACATGGTCGTGGACGTGGACCTGGTCGTGGACGTGGACGTGGACATAGACCAGGCAAGCTCCTGGACCAGGCACGCTCCTGGACCAGGCAAGCTGTTAGACCAGGCAAGCTCCTGGACCAGGCAAGCTCCTGGACCAGGCACGCTCCTGGACCAGGCAAGCTCCTGGACCAGGCAAGCTCCTGGACCAGGCAAGCTCGTGGACCAGGCATGCTCCTGGACCAGGCAAGATCCTAGACCAGGCAAGCTCCTGGACCAGGCAAGCTCCTGGATCAGGCAAGCTCCTAGACCAGGCACGCTCCTGGACCAGGCAAGCTGTTAGACCAGGCAAGCTCATGGACCTGGCACGCTCCTGGACCAGGCACGCTCCTGGACCAGGCACGCTCCTAGACCAGGCACGCTCCTGGACCAGGCACGCTCCTGGACCAGGCAAGCTCCTGGACCACGCAAGCTCCTGGACCTTTCATGCTTCTCGACCAAGCAAGCTCCTGGACAAGGCAAGCTCCTGGACCACGCAAGCTCTTGGACCAGGCACGCTCCTCGACCAGGCAAGCACTTGGACCAGGCAGGCTTCTGGACCAAGCAAGCTCCTGGACCAGGCAAGCTCCTGGACCAGGCACGCTCCTGGACCAGGCTAGCTTTTGGACCAGGCAAGCTCTTGGACCAGGCAAGCTCCTGGACCAAGCAAGCTCCTGGACCAGGCAAGCTCCTAGACCAGGCAAGCTCCTGGACGAGGCAAGCTCCTGGAACAGGCACGCTCGTGGACCAGGCACGATCTTGGACCAGGCAAGCCCTTGGACTAGGCAGGCTCGTGGATCAGGCACGCTCCTAGACCAGGCAAGCTCCTGGACCAGGCAAGCTCCTGGACCAGGCAAGCTTTTAAACCAGACATGCTCCTGGACCAGGCACGCTCCTAGACCAGGAACGCTCCTTGACCAGGCACGCTCCTAGACCAGGCACGCTCTTGGACCAGGCAAGCTCCTGGACCACGCAAGCTCATGGACCTTTCATGCTTCTCGAACAAGCAAGCTCCAGGACCTGGCAAGCTCCTGGACCACGCAAGCTCTTGGACCAGGCACGCTCCTCGACCAGGCAAGCACTTGGACCAGGCAGGCTTCTGGACCAAGCAAGCTCCTGGACCAGGCAGACTCCTGGACCAGGCACGCTCCTGGACCAGGCAAGCTTTTGGACCAGGCAAGCTCTTGAACCAGGCAAGCTCCTGGACCAAGCAAGCTCCTGGACCAGGCAAGCTCGTGGACCAGGCAAGCTCGTGGACCAGGCAAGCTCGTGGACCAGGCAAGCTCCTGGAGCTCCTGGACCAGGGAGGCTCGTGGACCAGGCAAGCTCTTGGACTAGGCACCCTCGTGGACCAAGCACGATTCCGGACCAGGCAAGCTCCTTGACCAGGCAAGCTCCTGGACCACGCAAGCTCTTGGACCTGGCAAGCTTCTGGACCAAGGAAGCTCCTGGACCAGGCACACTCCTGGACCAAGCACGCTCATGGAGAAGGCAAGCTCCTGGATCAGGCAAGCTCCTGCACCAAGCAAGCTCCTGGACCAGGCACGCTCGTGGACCAGGCAAGCTCCTGGACAAGGCAAGCTACTGGACCACGCAATCTCTTGGACCAGGCATGCTCTTGGACCAGGCAAGCTCTTGGCTGAGGAACGCTTCTGGACCAAGCAAGCTCTTGGACCAGGCAAGCTCCTGGACCAGCAAGCTCGTAGACCAGGCAAGCTCCTGGACCAGGCAAGCTCCTGGACCAGGCAAGCTCCTGGACTAGGCAAGCTCTTGGTCCAGGCAAGCTCCTGGACAAGGCAAGCTCCTGGACCAGGCAAGCTCCTCGACCAGGCACGCTCCTCGACCAGGCACGCTCTTCGACCAGGCAAGCTCTTGGACTAGGCACGCTCCTGGACCAAGCAAGCTCTTAGACCAGGCAGGCTTCTGGACCAAGCAAGCTCCAGGACCAGGCACACTCCTTGACCAGGCACGCTCCTCGACAAGGCAAACTCCTGGAAAAGACTAGCTCCTGGACCACGCAAGCTCTTAGACCAGGCACACTCCTGGACCAGGCACGCTCCTGGACTAGGCAAGCTCCTAGACCAGGCAAGCTCCTGGACAAGGCAAGCTCGTGGACCACTCACGCTCCTGGACCACACAAGCTCCTAGACCAGGCAAGCTCTTGGACGAGGCAAGCTCCTGGACTAGGCAAACTCGTGGACCAGGCATGCTCCTGGACCAAGCAAGATCCTGGACAAGGCAAGCTCATGGACGAAGCAAGCTCCTGGATCACGCAAGCTCCTGGACCAAGCACGCTCCTGGACCAGGCAAGCTCCTAGATCAGGCAAGGTCGTGGACCAGGCAAGCTCCTGGACCAGGCACGCTCCTGGACTAGGCAAGCTCCTGGACCAGGCAAGCTCGTGGACCACGCAAGCCCTTGGAGCAGGCAAGCTCTTGGACCAGGCAAGCTCGTGGACCAGGCACGCTCCTGGACCAGGCAACCTCCTGGACCACGCAAGCCCCTGGACCAGGCAAGCTCGTGGACCAGGCAAGCTCCTAGACCAGGCAAGCTCCTGGACCAGGCAAGCTCGTGGACCAAGCAAGCTCCTGGACCAGGCAAGCTCCTGGACCAAGCAAGCTCATGGACCAGGCAGGCTCGTGGACCAGGCACGCTCCTGGACTAAGCAAGCTCCTGGACCAGGCAAGCTTTTGGACTAGGCACGCACCCGGACCAGGCAAGCTCTTGGATCTATCATGCTTCTCGACCAAGCAAGCTCCTGGACCAGGCAAGCTCCTGGACCACGCAAGCTCTTGGACCAGGCACGCTCCTCGACCAGGCAAGCACTTGGACCAGGCAGGCTTCTGGACCAAGCAAGCTCCTGGACGAGGCAAGCTGTTGGACCAGGCACGGTCATGGACCTGGCAAGCTTTTGGACCAGGCAAGCTCTTGGACCAGGCAAGCTCTTGGACCAAGCAAGCTCCTGGACCAGGAAAGCTCCTAGACCAGGCAAGATCCTGGACGAGGCAAGCTGCTGGACCAGGCACGCTCGTGGACCAGACACGATCTTGGACCAGTCAAGCCCTTGGACCAGGCAGGCTCGTGGATCAGGCACGCTCCTGGACCAGGCAAGCTCCTGGACCAGGCAAGCTCCTGGACCAGGCAAGCTCCTGGACCAGGCACGCTCATGGACCAGGCAAGCTCCTAGACCAGGCAAGCTCCTGGACCAGACAAGCTCCTGGACCAGGCAAACTCGTCAACCAGGCAAGCTCCTGGACCATGCAAGCTCCTGGACTAGGTAAGCTCTTGGACAAGGCACGCTCCTGGACCAGGCAAGCTCCTGGACCATGCAAGCTCCTGTACTAGGCAAGCTCGTGCACCAGGCACGCTCCTGGACCAGGCAAGCTCCTAGATTAGGCAAGCTACTGGACCAAGCAAGCTCCTGGACCTGGCAAGCTCCTGGACCAGGCAAACTCGTGCACCAAGCAAGCTCGTGGACCAGACAAGCACCTGGACTAGGCAAGCTCCTGGACCAGGCAAACTCCTGGACCAGGCAAGTTCGTGGATCACGCACGCTCTTGGACCAGGCAACCTCCTGGACCAGGCAAGCTCCTGGACCAGGCAAGCTCCTGGACCAGGCAAGCTCCTAGATCGGGAAAACTCCTGGACCAGGCAAGCTCGTGGACCAGGCAAGCTCGTGGACCAGGCAAGCTCGTGGACCAGGCAAGCTCCTGGACCAGGCAAGCTCTTGGACCAGGCAGGCTCGTGGACCAGGCAAGCTCTTGGACCAGGCACCCTCGTGGACCAGGCACGATTCCGGACCAGGCAAGCTCCTTGACCAGGCAAGCTCCTGGACCACGCAGGCTCTTGGACCTGGCAAGCTCCTGGACCACGCAAGCTCTTGGACCAGGCACGCTCCTGCAGAAAGCAAGCTCTTGGACCAGGCAGGCTTCTCGACCAAGCAAGCTCGTGGACCAGGCAGGCTTCTCGACCAGGCAAGCTCGTGGACCAGGCAAGCTCTTGGACCAGGCAAGCTCTTGGACCAGGCAGGCTCTTGGACCAGGCAAGCTCCTGGACCAGGCACCCTCGTGGACCAGGCACGATTCCGGACCAGGCAAGCTCCTTGACCAGACAAGCTCCTGGACCACGCAGGCTCTTGGACCTGGCAAGCTCCTGGACCACGCAAGCTCTTGGACCAGGCACGCTCCTGCAGAAAGCAAGCTCTTGGACCAGGCAAGCTCCTGGACCAGGAAAGCTCCTGGACCAGGCAAGCTCCTTGACCGGGCAAGCTCTTGGACCATTCACGCTCCTGGACCAAGCAAGCTCTTGGACGAGGCAAGCTGTTAGACCACGCAAGCTCCTGGACCAAGCAAGCTCCTGGACCAGGCAAACTCGTGGACCAGGCAAGCTCCTGGACCAGGCAAGCTCCTGGACCAGGCAAGCTCCTAGACCAGGCAAGCTCCTGGACCAGGCAAGCTCTTGGACCAGGCAAATTCGTGGACCAGGCAAGCTCCTGAACCACGCAAACACGTGGACCAGGCACGCTCCTGGACCAGGCAAGGTCCTGGACCAGGCAAGATCCTAGACGAGGCAAGCTCCTGGACCACGCAAGCTCCTGGACCGGGCAATCTTGTGGACCAGGCACGCTCCTGGACCAAGCAAGCTCCTGGACCAGGCACGCTCCTGGACCAAGCAAGCACTTGGACCAGGCAAGTTGTTGGACCAGGCAAGCTCCTAGTTTTGGCAAGCTCCTTGACCAGGCAAGCTTGTGAACCAAGCACGCTCCTGGACCTGGCAAGCTCCTGGACCAGGCAAGCTCCAAGACAAGGCAGGCTCCTGGACCAGGCAAGCTCCTAGACCAGGCAAGCTCCTGGACCAGGGAAGCTCCCGGACCAGGCAAGCTCCTGGACCAGGCAAGATCCTGGACCAGGCAAGCTCCTGGACCAGGCAAGCTCTTGGACCAGGCAAGCTCGTGGACCAGGCATGCTCCTGGACCAGGCAAGATCCTAGACCAGGCAAGCTCCTGGACCAGGCAAGCCCTGGATCAGGCAAGCTCCTGGACCAGGCACGCTCCTGGTTCAGGCAAGCTGTTAGACCAGGCAAGCTCCTAGACCAGGCAAGCTCCTAGACCAGGCAAGCTCCTAGACCAGGCAAGCTCCTAGACCAGGCAAGCTCCTGGACCTCGCAAGCTCCTAGACCAAGCAAGCTCCTGGACCAGGCAAGCTCCTTGACCAGGCAATCTCTTTGACCAGGCAAGCTCGTGGACCAGGCAAGCTCCTGGACCAGGCAAGCTCTTGGACCAATCAAGCTCCTGGACCAGGCAAGCT